ATTCAATTTCAATTTTTTCCAATTCATTTTTCACCGATAGATTAAACCGCTCTTATCTATGGAATTTTAGGGTACTTCTGTTTTAGTGACAAGGAGTACTAACGATTGAATGGCTACGTTTGGGATGCAATTATGTGAAGATTAATTTGTAAATTTGAAATAACTGGTGTGCAACATGATTATGGGCAGAACTAAAATTGGTTTCATAAGTTATCTTATCTTATCGGCACTACCAACATGCCCCCTTAGTTGAATACACGGTTCGTCTTACGCACATCCCAAGCCGTTGCACGTGTCGGTGAGTTCAGTTTTTCCTTCAAGACAATGAACACGATGAGCTGAAATAAAGTTCTGTGGGTAAGGGGTATTAAAGTTTGCTGATCTCAAACGGGTTTCACATCTGTAGACTACGTCGCTAGAGAAGTTCCCTTTGTTCGTTATCATTCTTCAATTCAATCATGTTCCAGGTCTCAGGAGCTTCATTGTGAAAAGAACTGATCTGGGGCTAATCAGCGGTATGCCTATTATGTACTGGACTGGACTCTAGTAGAAAAAAAATGGCTATGGATGAGCGGTCCCGAATACAAATATCACACTGGGCTAGAGTGGAAGCAAATGATCTTTACGGCGATGAATACTATGTATGCACACTTCTGGACCGCCAGTCTGCCTGACTACCGTGACTGGGCCGACAACAACGGCAATCATAATCTTCACTATGTGAAGCGCCCTACTGTCCTTTCGACGAATAATATGTTGAGTAGAGAAGTAAGATACAAATTGTGTTTATTACAGCTCGGGTGAGAGCGTAGCTATCCAATTCATCCCACAAATACCAGATACGTAGAAGCACATACAGCAGAGCAGCTCCTACTTGTGTAATCGGCTAAGTGTACTTCAAAGTTGTTGCGTTGTGCTCCTCAATTTTATGCCTACCAAGCACTGTCATCAGGCTGCCACGCCTCATACCAAAGGTGCTCTTTTGAAGTAAAGTGCACGATATTAACGCAGGAGACGGAGATTTCAGCGAGAAAAAAACTAGAGGCGTTCTGGATCTTTCAAAGAAATCTTAAAATGAACGGTAGAGATGAGTGCCTAACTATAACCAACGATCTTTTGCCGTATATACCGCACTGCGGCTTATGACTCAGTAGCATTATGACGTGATCTTCCTTATCACAAGTATAAGGAGACAACACAAGAAGTCACATTCGCTACTGACAGTCGCCTGTGGCGACAGCGGATTTACATCTGCTTGAGCGGCGGAACCCTGGTGAGTTTAGATTCGAATTGTGGGTTCAAATTTGTTGTCACATTCGCCATATGGGGAGATGCGCTTTTTGGATACTGTGCGAATCATCTCGAATTGCTTTAGGCCTCTGAGGAAGACGATGGCGTCGAAACGTTAAGCCGTTGAATTGATGAATTGTTCCATCTAACAACCTCGCACGGCACAAGAGTATTTTAATCATAAACAAGAAATTGTACTGGGATCTCTACTGATCACTTCGCTAAGTAGCCCCTTTCTGTTGGTTGGATACATTTGAGAGCGGCTTTTTAGAGATCGTTACTATCTTCCTCTACACAACCAGAGGCACACGGGTAACGGAACTTCTCCCCGATTGCGGCATTCTCCCTTGCGGTATGCGGCAAATGTCAGTGTAATTACCGTACTCGCCCCGCCTCCCGCCGATCGATAGGACGCGATATTTTTCCTTGATTGACTTGCGTTTTCATTGGATTTTATCGTTTTTTCTTCTGTTTTTTTTTNCAAGTCCGCATTGGAATTGAAAAGAGCGGCCAGCCAATTCAAATAATTAAAGGACTCCCTACCTCACAAATTCCGCGCTCCAATCTTCCATCGCAATCCTGCGATAGGCGGGGGTGCGGCGTGTGCGACGCCGTGTTAAGGGAGAAGTTCCCGGACCCAGAAGCACACTATGCTCATTGCATAGAAAAACACAAATTCGATTACCTGTCCATTTACTCCCAGATATTACAATGTATGCCTTGAATGTCTCGTGAGAACAAAATGTTTTCATAAAGAAGGTTGCTATGAGGAAATAACTGAAGTGGAAACGTTCAACATTTGCTGGTGCTTATCAGATATGTGCAACTCGGCATCACTCCAGCGATTCGCCTTTTTAATAGCCACCCGTTTTGCAATGTTTTCTGCCCAGAATAAAATATGTAGGAAATTGATTAGGAATGAGACATCATCGACTTTAACAGATCTTACTTAGAAAGTTCCGTTCACAACGATTCCAACAGCGACGCCCGCTGTGATAGTCTCGTAATTTACGGTTTCATGTAGCGCCTTGTAGAGTTGTAGCTATAAAAGGATGAAGACTGGGGCATGGGAGGCGGTTGTTTGACGCGATCCCTCCCATCGCGCCGCCCATTCGACGCAGTTTACGAGCTGGACAGCTCGTCCAAGTGATCGGGCAACCCACTGCCTCTCCAGCTAGCGATCGATGACGCCGCTGCTACTGCCTGTCTACAATGTCCATTTGGCTTTTCATGGTGCTTGGACGAGTTGTCCAGATCGCAGACCGCGTCGAATGGGTGCCCGATGAGAGGATCGCGTCAAACGACATACACCCTGGCTGGCTGTTAATCAATCCCATCTAAGAAGTGCACCCCGCATTCGACTTCTATTCAGAATGGTAGTGGCGTATTGAATGCTTATGGGACCCAAACAATGGCTTGCAGTGGACAGTCGATGTACAACATAGTGCTCAAGACGAGCTGGTACCAAATAGCCTACGTCGGAGTAATGGAAGGCTTTATAGGCCTAGGCAGATACCGATCCGGAATTCAAACCCGCGTTCAGGCGTGTGTGATAGTGCGCTACTGCCACTAAACCATCTCCACCACGTCACTCGCCATAACCCTGAGCTGTACTGATCTTCCGCTTCCGTGATGGGTACCGAATCCTTCGCGTCTGAGAAATCCTAATGAATAAAACCGAGAAGATTACCTCATCTTATCTCATCGAAAATACCATTATGCTTGATCAGAAGAACATGAAGCCAGTATGGATCATTTCATAGGCAGACGTTTCTACTGCAGTTGTTGGTTAGTTTCTAAACTCTCTTAGAGGCTATGAACAAGTAGAGGTAAAATTGTGCTCCGAGCTTAGGGGATTTATCGGGATTCGCTGGATAATGGTATTTTTCTAGTCGTGAACTATGCTACGAATGGAAAAAAAACTTCTATATATTGGGGACCAATCTGACAATGACAATCTGATATTGTGGCCTGAGCACTTTGATGTGATTCCCTTTCTTTAGGCAAATATTCGACCATATGCCTTCCCTGACATTCCGAATAATGATTGGTTTCGAGCTCCTTATCAGAGTCGCCGCCATCGCCATTTTGGGATCGATTCCATGCTCACCGTATATTACGAATCCCAAAAATGGAAAATGCTACAGGAAATATTGTGATTTACAAGAGGCTGCAAGTGCTTCCGAAATGTGCCGATATATGGGAGGTGAA